AAATCTGAACACAGGGCGTTGATGTTTTGAATTAGTCAAATGCCATTCTCAGTGCAATAATTGGGCTGTGCGGTAGTCCCATGCCTGAAAAAGCATTGGAATGGGACCCTGCGTCTAGGCATTGGCTTCCGTGTGTCAGAGGGATGTGCGCGTGGATGTGTGGAGCCCAAGTGCATGGGGAGGGTTGCAAAAGTGGCCACCAGCTTGCGCCTGGCCAGTGCGGAACTATCACTGTGAGTGATGCATGGGTGTGTTGTGCGTGATGGAGGACGGCTGGGACCAGTTGGGGCGGGGGGAAGGCGAAGTTGTTTTCGGGTGTCCACGCGATCGAGAACGCATCAACTACGATGGCTTCTGGGTGGGGAATCTTTGTGCAGAAGCGCGGCAGTTGGGTGTTGCGGGAGTTTGCGAAGAGGTCGATGGAGTGGGGCCCCCAACGACGTTCCAAGATGCGGAACCACGGCGTTTTCAGCGCGTAATCGTCGTGGTCGACCATTTTTGAAAGTTCGTCGGCGTGTGTATTGAGCTCGCGCGGAATCCATTCGATGATCAAGCGCGTGCCAAGCTCCATGCATGTTCGGATGATGCTCTTGCATGTCGTTGCGAGGTCGGGGCTGTGAGAGCCGCCTTTTCGAAGGATGAAGAACATGCCCTGGTTGTCCACCCGCACGAGAACGTGTTTTTGCTTGATCTTGGTCGCGTATGTTTGGAGCGCCCAAAGGACGCCTTCAATCTCCCGTCGCGTGCTGGACGTTCCTCGTAGCGGCTCTGACATGGTTGCGCTAGCTTCTTCGAGGCCGCCCGGGAATGTGGTTAGAGTGGCGCCCCAACCATGAGAGCTGGCATCCACATGGATTACTGCGTCGTAGCTGTTCCTGACGTGAAAAGGTGCGCTGTTGAAACGGTCAAACTCCTCGAGCCAAAATTGGAGCTCCTCTGCTGCAGATGGGGGGATAACCACGCTGCTTTTCCAAGACGGTGCTTCGTTGATCACTTGTAACATAGCGTGGCTGAATGCGCGAGCGGTCGCGCCAAGTGCGACACCCATTGATGCAAGCATGCCAATGATTCTGGCCACGTGGCGGACCGGGACTGGTCGGCATGCCCTGCTTGCGCTCAGGAGGTTCCGGATGGTTGCATGTAGTGAGGCTCGTCGGTCGGGACCGATGGAGAATCGGCCGGTGTCGGTCTCCAGTTCTACGCCCAGGAATCGGAGATGTTGCGATGGTGACAGTTGTGATTTATTCGCGTTTATCACAAGGCCTGCCTCTTTGAGGTCCAATATCACCTGCTGGCAGATTGCTTGCGCATCAGCTTTCGACTGGCAGAGAATTAAGATGTCATCCACGTAAGGTACGACTCGGATGCCTTGTTCTCGCCAACGCCGAGCTAGTTGCTTGATGAGCTGTGTAAAGACGAATGGAGCCGTCGCGAGGCCGAATGGTAGTGAACGAAATGCGTATGTGCGCCTATCGAATTCGAAGCCAAGGAACTTCCAGCACGATGGGTGGATGTCGATGTGATGGTAACCAGATTTGAGGTCAATGGAGAACATCCAGTCCCCAACGCGCGCCAGGTCGGCGACACGGCTGAGCCCCTCGTACTTGAACTTGGGGACAATCAAGTTGGCGTTGACCTTTCTCAGATCAAGAATGAGCCTGCATTTGTCTTTTTGCTCGACCACGTTAAGTGGACTTATGCACTTGAGCTCCGTTGCGGCCATCGGAACTGCCGCTCCCGTCTCTATGAGTTCTTGGATGGCGGTACGTGTGAACGTGGCATGCGTGTTCGCCCCGACATGATTGCGATCGTGGAAAGGTTGTGGTGGGCCGTGGCTCCATGGCAACCAGTAACCCTTGGCGATGACGGAGAGAACGAGGCTGCTGGGGCACCATGAGCTCCACCACGCAAAGGTCGCGCGAAGACGACCGCACATCTGTGTAATAGTTCTGTTTGTAACGGCAAATTCGTACGGGTCATCGTAGCATGCCGCCTCGCACCGTCGTGCTCCTGTGCATGGGAGGCCAAGTGGTATACGGGTTGAGTATTCCATGTTAAAGCATGTGTGTGCATGTACATGTACGGGCAACCATTGATCAAATGTGTGAAGAAAATAAAAACCGACGGAAATGTCAACGAATGTGTCGGGCGCGAAACGGCGCTTCTTCTTCTCCTCGTTTCCTCCTCTCTTTTTTTTTTTTTTTTTTTTTTTCGGCCCATCGTGCACTCGGTAGGATGTGGTTGTGCCTGCCCTTAGTGCATGGGAGATGATGCCTATGGCCATGGACACACTTGTCCATTGTGTTTCTCTTATTCTCTCTTGTTCTCTCTCTCTCTCTCTCTCTCTCTCTCTCTCTCTCTCCATCTCTCTCTCTCCCTCTCTCTCTCTCTCTCTCTCTCTCTCTCTCTCTCTCTCTCTCTCGCTCTCTCCCTCTCCCTCTCTCTTTCATGCTCTCTCTTACTCGTAGTTCGTGGGGGCTGGTGCGTAGAATCATGGACATGCGTGCCCACCATGTTGTATCTCGTTCTTTCTCTTTCTCTTTCTTTCTCTCTCTCTCTCTCTCTCTCTCTCTCTCTCTCTCTCTCTCTCTCTCGCTCTCTCTCACACACACACTCTCTCTCAAGCGGTCCTTGTATTGATATAACGGGTGAGTACAAACGATCGAGGCAGCATAGAAACAGGCAACACCAGAGACTAAAAGAACAACCTAGCAGCAAACCAGATCCTAAGAACAACCTACAACCCCACCCACCAACCACCACCCCCCCCCCCCCCCCACTGGAAGCTCCTAAGGGAGCTCAGCAGTAGGTTCGAGCACCACAAAACAGTCCCCCAGGGACATTTCTCTCTCTCTCTCTCTCTCTCTCTCTCTCTCTCTCTCTCTCTCTCTCTCTCTCTCTCTCTCTCTCTCTCTCTCTCTCTGATCCTCCTCTTGATTGTTTCAGAGTCTCTTTGCCAAAACAGTAGGCTTTTAAGAAGGTAGTTTTTTATCAAATCAACCAACACACATAGCAATGCTCTCCTAGCATGCATCATGCTACTGAGTGGTGAACTACATGGGACCGAGGGGGTTGTTGCTCCCCTTCCCTATCCTAGGCCCAAAGCCTATTCCTACCCTTCACTAGGGCTGGCCTCTTGCCATCGCAAACCCCTAGGGCTGCCCACGATTTTCGCACTCAAGAGTGCACCGTGCCTAGCGCTCAAGCGCCTATTCCCATGGCCCGCTCCTACACCACCGGAGCGGGTCCTTGGCCGCCGTGCCCGTTCCTAGGGCAGGCACTTGCCACGTGGCCCTGCTGGCCGCAGCGGAAGCACGAGCCCCGAAACCCGCGGCAATTGGCCGTGGGCGGGGGTCCCCTCTTGGGTAAAAACGGCAACGGCGCGTTGTTTCCGCCGCGGTTGGCACAAGCATATCCGCTTGCCGCACGGTCCATTGCCGCCATGTCTGCGACCGCCTGCTTGAAGGGTCGAGAAGTCAGCAGGCTCTTCTGCTGGTACAACTTGAAGCGCTTCGCCGTGCGGAAGTCGGATGCGTCCTCCACTTGAAGCACCTCGAAACGCCCCGAGATGAGGTTGAGAGCGTGCGAGATGAGTTCGAGTCCGCCCGCTGGGTCTCCGCGCTGCGCCTTATATTCCGCGTGCAGCAGGTACGCGCGCAAGTCCTCCAGCAGCTCCGCTTGCTCTCGCACGGAGTCGTTGACGAACGTTGCCGCCAAGAAGGTGAGGTTAGAAGAAGGAAGGGGGGGAAGGTGTTCCGTGCCATTAAAATTAACATTGTTGACTGGAGCCTCACCGGCTTCATCTTCAGAGTCGTCGTTGTCGTTGTCGACCGCTGGAGCGGGGGGTGCTGCTGCTGCTGCGTCGTTGTCGTGCCGAATGGTCCTTGCTCCTCGCGCGCCTTTTTCCTTTTTCGCATTTTCTTTTTTAGCCGACGCAGATGCAGCGGGTAGTGCAGTTTCCGCGGCTGTAACGCTGACGGGCTGCTGCTGTAGAAGGGACAGCAGCGCGTTGACCTGGTCTGGGGTCAACGCCTGCGTCAACGCAGGGGCGGTCGTCGCGTCAGACGAGGAGACCGCCGTCCGCCTCCTCTGGCGCTGACGCAACGGTCCAGCCGCGGGTGCTGGCGTGTGCTCGGCGTCAGTGGCGTGTGCCACGCCCGCGGCCGTCGCCACTTGCGCCGCAGGTGCCACTGGCGCCACTGGCACCTCAGGCGCCACTGGCGCCACTGGCGCCGAAGGGTGCTGCTGGGCGTTGGCCGAATTGTTGACCTCGAGCCCGCCCAGCAGCACGTCCACTGCAGTCGGGGCGGGCGGTCCATCTTCTGCCCGTCGCTTGTTACGGCGTTCGCCCGCCAAATCGCGAGTGTTACGGTCGTTGTCGGAGGCGGGGTTGGACGAGTTCCCGTTGTTAAGTGTCGGCGTCGGTGCCATCGTTGAGCGATTGAAGTTAAAAATATCGTTGAGTAAGGTCGAAGGTGACTCGCCTCTAGGAAGCGATTTTGTTCTAGCCAGCTTGGACGGAGGGATAAACTACGTGAGCAGAAATGTTGAGTGAGCCGTTTGAAAATCGAGAAGCGTGGGTGGAGGGAAATGAACTCCAACCCACGGTTTTTGTTTTTTTTTTTTGTTTTTTTTTTTTTTTTTGTAGTTGGAGAAGGGCGTTTAGCGCGCTTCGACGATGCCAATTGTGCAGTACAAGCAGCTTCGCTTTCACAATACACAATTTTAAAAAACACAATGTGTGTTTAAAAATTATAATGTTGTGTGTCCTTGCTGTCGCGCTGCATTTGTCAGGTCAAAGGTCGCTGACCTTTGACTTTCGCGTAACCTCCAACAGTTGTTTCAACCTCCGAGGGTTGACTCGCCGATGTTTCGATATGTTCTGCTTCGCTTCTGACTTGGTGTTTCGACACGACAGAGGCGCATTTAGATTACTTGTTCCCAACAGATTTTACTTCATGACGGTTTGAAGCACCTACACATCTCTCGTACACAACATGTCATCTGCGTGCCGCCGGCCTGCCCTTCTCCTTCTTCCCCTTGCTCTTGTTGGACGCCGCTTCTGCCTCCTCTTCAGCCTTCTGCTCGGCCTCCAGCTTCTCAAGCTGCACGGCAAGTAAATAAGGACGAAATCAGATTCACGCGTGTACACAGAATGGAGTGTATTACAACGGCAGTACTGGCAGGATTCATTAAACTATGACACGGGAGGAGGGGCGAGGAACAGACCTCAGTGAGGACGGGCAGCAGGTCGCGGTAGCGCGCCTCACAGAGCTCAAAGCCATCCTTGCGCAGCTCCTGGGGCACAGGGAGGTGGGGGGGGGGTGTGGGAAGGGGGGGGGGCAGGAGGATGAGGAACGCAATCAACCCCATGGGGTGCACCTCGTGTGCTCCGGGGCAGGCAAAGTGCAGGCACTGACTGGCGTATCAGAGCATGGAAGACGGGGTTTGCGTGGCTGGCACCACACACACTCGTTTCCGCTTCAACATGCAACCGCCTCGTTCACGAACCCTGTCCACCCCATACCCAGCAAACAGCAATGAGCCGAACATGCCATGACGCACCTTGCCGGTGCGCTGGGTGTGCTGGTACGCCTCGCGCTGCCAGTGCTCGCCCGTGCGGGCAAAGAAGTCCCTCAGCGACTCGCCAGGCTGCCAGCCACACAAGTATGGTGCACACACACACACACACACACACACACACACACACACACACACACACACACACACACACACACACAAACACACACACACACACACACACACACAGAGGGAGGGGCACTTGGTAACTCAACTCAGTGACAAGACAAATGTCCGGCAACACAGAATGGAGGTGGTGCAAGGTGCATACACGGAGTCCTGTGACTCGCGACTCACAATGGGCGTCCTCGCCGCGTCTGCAAGCCCCAGATCCGCGCGAATCCGGTCAATCTCCGCCCGCCTCTCCTTGCGCGACAGCTGGCGCTTGCCGCCCGCAGGAGCCTCGCCCCTCAGAAGCGCCGCTGCCAGCTCCGACGCCGTGGCGGCGCCGCCCGTGGCCTGGCGGTTGGATGGTGGGGAAGTCGGCGCATGCAGACTTGGTAAAGTGCGACCAACAGAAGGAAGCTGGACGTGCATTTGGCTGAAACTCCAGCCATGAGTTCTAGGGACGGTCATACCTTGGCAGCATTCAGCAGACAAATGAGGAGGGCACACCTTGGTTGAAGTCTCATCGTCGCTCGACTCATCCTCGTCCTCCTCTTCCTCCCCACTCTCCTCATCACCGCTCTCCTCCTCATCGTCCTCCTCCTCCTCTGCCACCTCCACCCATGTGCTCTCTGACCCCTGCACTTGATGTTAACACACACATGCAGGCGGTAATTGTGACACGGCGTGCAGCAAGCAGCATGCAGGACAGGCCCAAAGAGCATGAATCACATGAAAAGTGAGCAAGGCAGTATGATCACGAGCACCAGCTGTGCATGTCCCCTTACCCTCACAGCCTTGTCGCAACGCAGGTTGCAGTGAGAGTGGCACGAGTATTGCAGTGAGAGTGGCACGAGTATTGCAGTGAGAGTGGCACGAGTATTGCAGTGAGAGTGGCACGAGTATTGCAGTGAGAGTGGCACGAGTATTGCAGTGAGAGTGGCACGAGTATTGCAGTGAGAGTGGCACGAGTATTGCAGTGAGAGTGGCACGAGTATTGCAGTGAGAGTGGCACGAGTATTGCAGTGAGAGTGGCACGAGTATTGCAGTGAGAGTGGCACGAGTATTGCAGTGAGAGTGGCACGAGTATTGCAGTGAGAGTGGCACGAGTATTGCAGTGAGAGTGGCACGAGTATTGCAGTGAGAGTGGCACGAGTATTGCAGTGAGAGTGGCACGAGTATTGCAGTGAGAGTGGCACGAGTATTGCGGCAGGCAGCAGCAACTCTAGGGAAACGATCAGAATACTGCCCTCACAGCTTGGGGTGCTGCGGGCACTCGCCTTGTGAAGGCACGTCCAGTGGTCGAGCTTGGAGAGGTTGAGGCTGAAGAGGTCGTCCAGAGTCACCTCGCGGTCGCCCACCTCCTTGGCGCCGCCCCACAGGTACAGCGTGTTGCCGCCCACTGCCAGCCCCGCATTCATGCGGCTGCACGGCGCCTCCCCTCGCTCCCCCGTCCCACCCCCCTCCCTCTCCCCCTCCTTCCTCTCCCCCTCCTTCCTCTCCTTTCCTTCCCCTGCTGCCTCGCTGCCTACCCCTGTCTTATCCCCCTCTGCGTCATCACCCCCTTTCCCCTCGCTGCCCTCAGCACTCCTCTGCATGTCCTCGCCCACACTGCCTTCCTCAAGGCTCAGCCTCTGCAAGCCGCCCTGCACCTCACCACCACTCGCTTCCCTCGGGCTCCCTGCTGCTGCCTGCTCGTTGTCACTGCCCCGCCCGTCTGCCTCTCTGGGCCCCTGCCTGCTCGCATCCATCTCACCCCTCTCACCCATCTCACAATCCCTGCTGCCCGTCGCCTCCTCCAAACCTGGCGCTGCACCGCCTTCGGAAGCGGCAACTGCATCTGTGCCGCCCCCACTGCCACCCCCTGCCGCCTCCTCCGCTTCCTCCTCCTCCTCCCACCCATCCCACTCCTCCTCGCCTCCATCATACTCCACCTGTGCCCCTGCCGCTGCTGCTGCAGCTGCTGCTGCTTTTGACTTGGCCCCCTTCCTCTCCTTCCGCTTCAGTCTCTGTTTTCTTCGCCCAGTCACCTCCTCCTCCTCCTCCTCGCTCTCACCAGCATTGCCTGCCTGCCTGCTCTTCCTCCCCTCCGTTTCCTCGTCACTCTCACCCTCCCCCTCCTCCCCATCCGCCTGTGTGCCGCTCGTTGCTGCACTGCCTGCATTTGGCTGGGCGACAGGGGTTGGAGGGGCAAAGAGGGGTAGGGAGGGGCAATGACGAGTGGAGAAGGGAAACGACGAGTGGAGAAGGGAACGAGGGGTGAAAAGTGGAAAGAGGTGTCGACAGGGGCAAATGAGGTGGAGGGGGGCAAATACAAGTGGTCTCTGCTGGCTCACCTCCGCCTTCCTGGCAGCCGCCAGGGCCTGTTGCTGCGAGCGCAGGAGGAGGGGGAACCAGCGGCGCGAGTCCATCTGGAAGGCAAACATGTCGTCCAGAAACGTGCTGCGCAACACATCGCCGCCTGCACCATGGTGGCAGGGGCAGGGGGAGGACCGGAGGAGGAGGGGCAGCAGGTGTAAGAGCAACGAGAAGTGGTGTCGTGGGAGGTTTCGCAGAGGAGACGTGAGCAGCGGGCAGGTGGTCAGATGACAGTGAGCAGAGGGGAGATCGCGGGGGGGGGGGAGATGGCAAGGGCGGGGGGGAGATGGCAAGGCGGGGGGGGGAAGGCAAGGGCGGGCGGGGGGGATGGCAAGGGCGGGGGGGGGGGGGGAATGGGCCATTCCGAATGGCAAGGGCGGGGGGGGGAATGGCAAGGGCGGGGGGGGAATGGCAAGGGCGTGGGGAGAATGGCAAGGGCGGGGGGAATGGCAAGGGCGGGGGGGAAATGGCAAGGGCGGAGGGGGAATGGCAAGGGCGTAGGGGGAATGGCAAGGGCGGAGGGGGAATGGCAAGGGCGTGGGGGGAATGGCAAGGGCGGGGGGGGAATGGCAAGGGCGGGGAGGGAATGGCAAGGGCGGGGGGGAATGGCAAGGGCGGGAAGAGAATGGCAATGGCGGGGGGGGAATGGCAAGGGCGTGGGGAGAATGGCAAGGGCAGGGGGAATGGCAAGGAAGAAGGGGCGAGCTGACCTTTCTCCTCGCGGTCCACGACTCCCCCGAAGAGGATGGCGCGGCTACGGTGCACCGCCAGGGAGAAGCCCGCCCTCGCACTCGGTGGCGACCCCAGCCGCTTCACCTGCACGCACGCAGGCAGGTGGGTGAGGTGAGGTGAGGTGAGGGGAGGTGAGGTGAGGTGAGGTGAGGTGAGGGGAGGTGAGGTGAGGTGAGGTGAGGTGAATGAGAGCGTCGTAGGAAAGATTCTTGAGAGCAATAAGTTTTCCCTCAAAATTCTCACAACCGACTCTTTTCTCTGAAGAGAATTTTGGAACAACGGACCTTGCTCCACTCGAAGGAGCAACGCACCTTGTTCCACTCCAAGGACCAACGCACCTTGTTCCACTCCAAGGAGCAACGCACCTTGTTCCACTCCAAGGAGCAACGCACCTTGTTCCACTCGTAGGAGCAACGCACCTTGTTCCACTCCAAGGAGCAACGCACCTTGTTCCACTCGTAGGAGCAACGCACCTTGTTCCACTCGTAGGAGCAACGCACCTTGTTCCACTCGTAGAAGCAACGCACCTTGTTCCACTCGTAGGAGCAACGCACCTTGTTCCACTCGTAGAAGCAACGCACCTTGTTCCACTCGTAGGAGCAACACACCTTGTTCCACTCGTAGAAGCAACGCACCTTGTTCCACTCGTAGGAGCAACGCACCTTGTTCCACTCGTAGAAGCAACGCACCTTGTTCCACTCGTAGGAGCGCGGGTCGAGCAGCCAGAGGTCGGAGAGCACGACGCCCTTGTCCTTGCCATCCGCGTCCCTGGCGTGATCCTTGAAGTAGCCTCCGTACACATACACCTGTGATGTGACATGCACGGCACACGCATGATGATCTTCCGTCGTTGCACGTGCATGTGAGTCAATGAGCCCGTGAATGTGTGCGCAGGCATGATGAGTGCCCTGTGAGCTCTGTGTGCACAGCAGAGCAGGCGCAGTGCATTGCATGGCAGGCAGGGGGCGGCTGACCTCGTCCTGGTGGGCGGCGAACTGGAAGGCACTGCGGGGGGACGGCCATGCTGCCCCCGGCTTGGGCTTCACTTGGGACCACTGCGCCAGGCGCATGGCCCATGGCGGTGGGCGGGCAAGGAGGGGAGAGACGGTGGCGGCATGGAGGGGGGTGAAATCAGGCACAGTGATCAGCCTCAACTAACAAGCTTGAGTCACGGATGCGAAGCAAAGAGAGTGGAGCAGTGTGGGTGGATGCTAGTAGGGTGGAGAGACTAGGACAGAGAGAGCACCTGGTGTTATCAGAGTGACTTGAATGGTGCAAGCAGTGCAGTGGCCCTCTCACAGCAAGCAATGGCTACACGAGTTGAAGGAGCAGCAGGGGCCAAGGGTGCGAGGGCACGTGCCTTCATGTCGTTGAGGTCCAACACATGGAGGTCGTTGAAGTAGCTGCAGAGGGGGTGGCATGGGGAGGTGGAGGGGGGAAGGAGAACGACACAAGAGGCAAGGCGCGTGAGGCACATGGCTGCTTCCAGTGCCGCACGCATGCACGCATGCACAACGGACCGCTTTGCAGCGCTGGGCTCGTGAACAGTGGCAACTGTGGATGCGGGGTGATGGGGTGAGCTCAAGGCAGTGAAGGCAGTGGTGCTTCTCGGGTCTTGGAAGGTGCTCGGATTAAGTGCTGCTCCTTGTGCCATGGCCTCAGCCACATAACGCTAAAGCAGCGCGAGAGTGAGTGTGGGCGTGTCCTCGCCTAATAACCCCCAACTTTGCATCTCATCTCATCACAGCACACCTTGCTGAGGTTGCCCGGGACTCACCGCACATCCCTAAGGTTGTCATAGAACCCTCCAAACAGCAGTATTTTCTGCTTGTACAGCACCTGCCCTCCAACGCAACGAGATAGGGGAATGGGATGGGGGTTCAGTTGGATAAGTCAAGTGTAGGGCTTAAATGAAACGGGAGATTCTTTGTTCCAGATGCTCCAACATGAGAGAAAAGTTGGCTGCAAGTATTGGAGATCTGGATAAGATGCAAGCCCTTTGGTGCATGAAAAGTGCTGCCTTCAATTCGACAGGGAAGGTAGCGCCTCACCATGCGGTGGCCTCACCATGCGGTGGCCGGAGCGGGGCGAGGGGGCGCCCTTGAGGTTCAGCTGCTCCCACTCGTTGCTGTTCAGATCCAACCGCCATAGGTCCTGTGGTCATGGGTGGCACACACAGCAGGACGCACAGCAGGGCACACAGCAGGGCACACAGAGCAGGGACGTGGAGTGGCAAATATGTTGACTCTGGCAAGGCACAAGACGAGATGCATCACTGGTGTGTCGTGAATTGAGTACTAGGATGCATGCACGTGGAACAGCACAGCAGCAGGGCGCACCTTGAAGTGGTGGAACCTCTCCTGATTGGGCGACGTGAACTCGCCACCTGTTACCACACATGTCGCACAGCACACACAGCACACACTGCGTGAGACACGACACACGAAGTCCATGCAGCATGGTTAACTGTCAGCGAACACGAACAGATTCGTGTGGCCAGGCCACGTGGCGCAGGGCACGCACCGAAGACGAAGAGGAAGTTCTTCCAGGCGACGGCATGGTGCCCGCTGCGAGGCGGCGGGCTGTTGGGGCTGCTGACCAGGCGCCATGTGGCCTTGTCCGCGTTGAAACGGTACAGATCGCCGTACACGTACGTCTGGTGGGGGGTGGAAGAAGGGGGAGAAATGTTGGGAAGTTGGGCCGATGAGGCAAGGTTGAGAACACCAGCAATAGGCAAGGGTAGGAGAAGCTTCGGAAGAACGCAGCAAAGGAAGGCCACCCTATGAGTGAACCCAATGATTCACATAGCTTCAATAATGGTGGGCGCCAGTAGCCCATCCCCCAGGTGTGACCCCAAGGCGCACCTTATCCCCATTGTAGAACTCCCCACCGAAGATGATGAGCTCCGTGTCCTTGAGTGGGTTCACCACCATCTGCCACGCGGGCGAGTGGTTGAGCGGGCGAGAGAGATGAGAGGGGCCACAGAATGAATGAGGCACGGGGAAGCAGCCGGGGGCGAGGGGGTCGAGGGATAGGAAGCGGGAGAGGAGGGGAGCGAAGGAGAGGCAATGGATCAAGTGCTCATGGATGGGGCATCTTACAAAGTACCACCGCGCTGCTGTTAGGGGAAGGGGAAGGGAGGGTTGGGGCGCGACTCACGGTGGCGTTGCAGCGAGGGGAGGGCGGCGGCACGCCCTCCTCCACATGCACCTCCTTCTTCTTCGCCTCCTCCGCTGCTATCTTCGCCTGTACGCCATGCATGCCCCACATGCCCCCCATGCCCCACATGCCCCACATGCCCCACATGCCCCACATGCCCTACATGCCACGCATGACATGCATATCCCACATGCCACACATGCCATGCGTAACCACATGCCAGAGAGACAGCAGGGAGAGCGGAGGCCTCCCTATGGTGCGTGTTGTTAGAGGGCCCTACAACAGCAAGGGCCCTCGATGACCTTTGACTTGGCAGGTCGACGCCTAGCGACTGAGTCTACTCGGCACCGACGAATGAGTTCGATGGAGGTCGCATGAAGAAGTGAGAGTCCGTGGGAGTTGTTGGTGCTTCCTTGAGAGTCGCACCACTCTTTGCTAGGTTGGTGGAGTGGTGTGCACGGAAGCGAGAAGTCGATGCTGAGTTGGGTTGAGAAATTGGCGAGGCGCGTTCGCTCACCCACACACCACTTTCGTGGGGTTGGGTTACTCGCAGCGCCCACGCAACCTCTTGTGAAACCCTCGCCTGCCTATATATGTTTGTGTTGCTTGTGTGTTTGATATATATTTTTCTATTTTCCTAGTGAAGTCCAAATGCTACTTCAATTCTCACCAAGTCCTTAGAGGTAAACGCTACCGAAACTCTACCAAGTTGCTGGCGCAACATCATTCCCATAGCAGAAACTCTCTCGTTATTGCTACGCTCTCTAATATATTCCTTCATGGTGCGGTGAGCGTGGAACGAACACGCATAGATTTACGTCGTCGTTGATATTCGCGTTCGTATACTCGCCTTGGCGTGCGGCGTTAGTGAAGGGCGCTTATTAATCTAAGTTGAACCTCTCTTGATTTCCCTCCAGTTACGTTCTCGGACCCAAGGATAGGGCGTTTGGTAATTTATTACCACTCGTCTGAGGACCCTTGTGAGGTGACCCCGAGACGAGGGATTTAAGGAAGGGGCACTTTATTTTAATTTGTGGTACCTTATAGAGACGTCGTAGAGGATGAGTACTGAGGAGGCGAACGTGGAGGCCGGTAATTTGCGCACTCTAGAGGAGGATCTCGTGGCTCGTCATTCTCGTGGTGAGATTAGTGATATTGAATACGAGCTAATGTTGGAGGGATTGCGCTCGCGTCGGCGTCGTGAGCACCCTTCCCCACGTGTAGAGAATGTTGAGCAAGTTGCGGGAGGTACTAGTGCGTGGGATATGGCTGTCGATGGCGGAAATAGCGATGACGAGGAGTTTGATGGGTTGATGTCGCGTGGGGTCCTGCGAAGACCAACTCGGTTTAGTACGGCTAGCGTCGGCGGTGTACAGGAGCGTGTTCATCGTGCAGCAGCGTCACGAGAGCATGCGAATATAGGACGGCGAAGCGTTGCTGGGGGAGGAATTGCGGAAGAGTTCGATAGTGAGACTATGCCGGGCGTTACCCCGATTGGATCGATGTCGAGGGACGAGGGAATAGCCCCCAACTATGGCTACTTCAGATTCACTCCAGACAAGATCGTTGTCACTAGTCCGTTAGAAGGACGTCACGACCTGTCGACGTGGACAGAATCAATCGAGCCGCAGCTTGAGATCGCTCAGCTAAAGCGATTCATAGATGGCACCACCCCTATTCCACCAGCGCGTGCGCTTGCGCATCTCTCTCAGTTCCGCGCGATGCAGTTGCTGACATTCACCACTATTTCCCGATGCTGCTCCCCAACCGTACAAATCGCCCTTAAGGCGTGTCGCATGAAGGTTGATGCCGGCTATCAGGCATGGCAGTTTATTATGCGCACGTACATGGCGAAGGACGATCTGTACATCGGTCAGTTAGAGCAGGCGCTCACTAACCTCGAGATGGGAGAGCATGAGTCCGCTACGTCCTATTGCAACCGTGCGCAGCAGATCCTAGTGAACCTGAGGATGGCCGGCGTAGATTACTCGCAGGCGTCGTACATCACTCACGTTGTGAAGGGGTTGCCGCAGCAGTACAACCTCTTACGCAGGATGCTGAAGTTGCCGCAGGTGCGCAAGGAGTTGGACGAGAACACCCTCGCTAGCTACATCATCGAGGAGGAATGTACGCTGGCGTCAGAGGGACGAAAGGACCAATTCCTTCCCCAGGCTAACCAGGTCTTTACCAAGAAGGGTAAGCCCCAATTCCAGCAGAATTCGTTCCCTTCCCCTCCCACTACGGCACAGCAGCAGCAGCCTAAGAATGGGGGTGGGCTTAGTGGGGGAGGGGAGAAGTGGAAAGGGGGTAAGGATGGCCAGCCGAAGGGGGGGAAAGGGGGTTTCAAAGGGAAGTGCTATGTGTGTGGACAAATAGGGCATGTTGCTAAGTACTGTCAGCAGCGGGCGGATAAGGAGGCAGACACCGGTGGAGAGGGTTCTGGAGGTAGCAGCGGAAAGGGGGGTGATGGCTCTAAGGGGAGCGGGCAATCATCATGTGCGATGGTGAAGCCCGTTGTGGAGCAGACTCCTCTCGTTGTGCTAGAGCCTGAGGGCGGGGAGGCCTTACAGGCTGTTGCAGCTGCTGTAAAGGCGAACCCGAGCGTCGTGCTGCTTGATAGCGGATGCTCCCACCATCTCATGGGAGATCGTTCTGCCTTTGTGGAGATGAGCAGCGGCGGCAGTATTAAACAGGTTACTGGCTTCAACGGCGCGCTTCAGGAGGTGCAGGGGCGGGGCACAATCGCTCTTCTTGGAGAGGGGGGCAGGCGTGTCTTGGTGCCGGACGTGCTGTACGTACCAGGAGTGCAGGCGAGTCTTCTCTCTGCTGGGCAGCTGCGTGATAGTGGTGTGCAGCTGCTGGATGCCGGGGATGTGACTTTGCTGCGAGCACCAGATGGATCGCTTCTTGGTCGTGCGGAGTTCAAGGGGCGTGTTCTCTGCACGAACTTCCAGCCGTGTTCGACGCAGCAGCAGGAAGGCGAAACGGTGGCACTTCGTACCTTGGCGACGGGCGTGCGGTCTAAAGGGGACCTGTGGCATGCGCGTATGGCACACGTTGGTATTGATGCCATCGAGCGCACAGCGGCTCACGGGTCAGTGAAGGGCTTGGATTTGGAGAAGGGGGGCAAGTCAGGCATACCTTGTGTTTCCTGTGTTGGGGGAAAGATCACTCGTCATACCTTTCCTTCTGTGGGAGAGGAGGAGGATGAGTTGCTCGGGGTGGTGCATGCTGACCTGTGTGGCCCTTTCCGTGAAGCAGCTAAGGACGGCAGCCGCTACTTCTTGGTGCTGAAGGATCGAAAGACGCGATATGTCTGGGCCTACCCTTTGGCCCGGAAGAGTGATGCGCTGGCGGCGTTCCAGAAGTGGCTCCCGATGGCAGAGCGACAGTGCAAGACCACGGTGCAGGCGCTGCGCACTGATCGGGGTGGCGAGTTCCTGGGGCACGACTTCACGCTCTTCCTCGACGGTAAAGGCATCATCCATGACCTCACATGCCCGTACACGCCGGAGCAGAACGGGATGGCCGAGAGGGAGATGCGCAGCATTGTGGAGGCGGTGCGGACGATGTTGCTGCACATGGGTGTGCAGCATCACTGGTGGCACCTGGCGTTGGCTCAGGCCGTCTGGGTGCGCAACCGCGTGGAGCACGCCTCACTACCCTCTGGTGTGACGCCGTACGAGCTCGCCTTTCGACGCAAACCTGATGTCAGTATGGTGCGTGTTTGGGGCTGCATGCTGCAGTACATGGTACCACGGTCGCAGCGTGGGGGGAAGCTGGCGCCTAAGGCTCGCTGGGGGTTGCACTTGGGTGTGTCAGCTGCGAGCAAAGGCTGGACCGTGCTGGACTTGGAGTCCAACCGCCTCATCACCACTGTGGAAGCTGTGTTCTATGAGACCATGTCCCTAGCAGGATGGAAGGCTTGGCATCAGCAGGAGCATGGGGGGCGTTCGATGCCCTATGAGCCCCTTCCCTCACTCTTCCCGATCACTCTCGAGGAGGCGGAGGAGGAGGAGGAGGTGGTCGCACCTCCTGCTATGCCCTATGTCCCTACCTCGGTCCCCACCCCACCTCCGCCTTCCGTCTACCCTCGTGTGATTCCCCCTGTTCCGCCTTCTTCCTCCTCACCCCCCTTGCCTTCCCCTCCTCCTCCTGTTATTCCATCTCCCCTTTCACCCTCCATCCCTCCTGCACCTGCTCCGCCCTCCTCTTCGTCTTCCACGGCGCAGCCCGTTGGTGAGGGGGGGATGGAGGTGCCACCGTCTGTGGAGATCACCGACGGGCAGCGCCTTGAGACTGAGCAGCTGCAGGACGAGAGCAGTATGGATGGAGTACAGCAGACAGGGGAGCAGCAGATTGGGGAGCAGCAGACAGGGAAGCAGCAGAGTGGGGAGCAGCAGATAGGGGAGGAGCGGATTGAGGAGCAGCAGATGGTGGACCAGCAGCTCGGGGAGCAGCAGACAGGGGAGCCGCAGACAGGGGAGCAAGAGATGTGGGGAATTAGAGATGGTGGTCGTGTGTTGGTTTCTGGGACGACCACTGCACCAGTGCGTCGCTCCACTCGCATCACTCGTGGTGTCCCGCCTGTTCGATACGCTTGGGCTGTAGTGGTTGAGCCAGCGGGCTTGGATGACGAGGAGGAGGACGAGGAGTGGACTGACCTGGACCCGGACGTTGCAGCTGATCCTGAGAGGCAGTGGGACATAGCGAAAATGACAGTGAAGGAGGCCTTGGGCTGCTGGAAGGGCGACAAGGTGAAGGAGGCGATGGATGAAGAGATGCGGAGCTTGATTGAGCAGGGGACGTGGGAGTTGGTTCCGCGTCCACCAGGGGTGAATGTGATGAAGAACCGCTGGATTTTGAACACCAAGTTCCGACCTGATGGGATAGTGGAGCGTGAGAAGGCGAGGCTGGTGGTGAAGGGGTTCACGCAGGTGGCAGGGGTGGACTATGAGGAGACGTACGCCCCTGTGGGAAGCTATGTGACGGCGCGTGTGCTTCTGGCGATTGCAGCTGCACTTGATTTGGACCTGATGCAGCTCGATGTAAAGAATGCGTTCCTCCATGGCGTGCTGGACCGAGATCTTTACATGGAGCAGCCGAGCTATTACGAGGATGGGACTCCTCGTGTCTGTAAGTTGGTGAAAAGTCTGTATGGGCTCAAGCAGAGCCCGATGCTATGGTATGAGGCCTTGGATGGGGTGCTGCTTGGGGCTGGATGGAAGAAGAGCAAGGTGGATGAGGCTCTGTACTTCAAAACTGATGCTGAGGGGGAGATGTGCTGGCTGCTGGTGTATGTGGATGACCTGCTTGCTGCCAGCCGCAGTCAGAGCATGCTTGGGGAGCTGCGTGAGCTGCTGCAGAGTGCGTTTCAGCTGCGGGAGATTAGCCCTGTGGAGAAGTATCTGGGGTTGCAGCTGATTCGGGACAGGCCTACGAGGAGGCTATGGCTGCACCAGAGGGCCTATGTGGACAAGGTTCATAGGCGCTTCTTTGACGGGGAGCAGCCGCTGCGAGTGCCTCGCACCCCTCTTTCCTCTGACCCTTTCAGTGTGCAGACCTTCGAGGATGTGGGATGGCAGTCTCGCCAGGAGGAGGAGTACAGGCAGAAGGTGGGATCCTTGCAGTTCGCGGCCTGTACCACCCGTCCCGACATCTCGTTCGCCTGCAGCAAGCTGGGGTCGGGCCAGACTGTGCGGAGTGATCAGCACTGGAAGGAGTTGGACCGGTGCTTGACGTACTTGGTGGGGAGCAGGGATGTGGCGCTGGAGTTTGGAGGTGGGCCGGAGTCCTTGGAGCTGGTGGGCTACGCCGATGCTGATGATGCAGGGGACAAGCAGAACAGGACCAGCACAGGTGGCTATGTCTTCGTGCTTGGGGGTGCTGCTGTCTCATGGGCGAGCCAGAGGATTCGTTGCGCCACCCTCTCCTCCACTGAGTCTGAGTATGTTGCTGCTGTGGAGGCCGGGAAGGAGGCGCGCAGGCTGCGCTTCCTGCTGGCAGAGTTTCAACTGCTGAGGAGTGAGGAGCCCACTACTCTCTTTGTGGACAACTCCTCCGCCATTTCAGTGGCAGGTGGCATGGGGCTCAAGGGGAGCCTCAAGCACATGGAGCGTCGCCACATGTGGCTGCAGCACATGGTCAAGCGCAGGAAGCTGCAGTTGCAGTACATCCCTACGAGCGAGCAGCCTGCTGACTACCTCACGAAGGCATTGCATTTCCCCGCCTTCAGTCGTTGCTTCGAGGCTGTGGGGCAGGTGAGGCTTTCGAGTGAGGGGGGTGAGACCTAAACACTCCATGATGTGGATGGTGCCATGGCCTATCCATGGCTGGTGCGGTGCGTGTTTGCACTTTGAGAGTGCTTCGTTTGTGTGTGTTTCCCTTTGTTTTGGCGTGTACGTGTGTATGCATGCCCTGTGGTTATAAAGGGCCTTGCTGTAGTATGGCAGGGGAGTGTTAGAGGGCCCTACAACAGCAAGGGCCCTCGATGACCTTTGACTTGGCAGGTCGACGCCTAGCGACTGAGTCTACTCGGCACCGACGAATGAGTTCGATGGAGGTCGCATGAAGAAGTGAGAGTCCGTGGGAGTTGTTGGTGCTTCCTTGAGAGTCGCACCACTCTTTGCTAGGTTGGTGGAGTGGTGTGCACGGAAGCGAGAAGTCGATGCTGAGTTGGGTTGAGAAATTGGCGAGGCGCGTTCGCTCACCCACACACCACTTTCGTGGGTTGGGTTACTCGCAGCGCCCACGCAACCTCTTGTGAAACCCTCGCCTGCCTATATATGTTTGTGTTGCTTGTGTGTTTGATATATATTTTTCTATTTTCCTAGTGAAGTCCAAATGCTACTTCAATTCTCACCAAGTCCTTAGAGGTAAACGCTACCGAAACTCTACCAAGTTGCTGGCGCAACATCATTCCCATAGCAGAAACTCTCTCGTTATTGCTACGCTCTCTAATATATTCCTTCATACTGGGCCTACCCTTTGGCCCGGAAGAGTGATGCGCTGGCGGCGTTCCAGAAGTGGCTCCCGATGGCAGAGCGACAGTGCAAGACCGCGGTGCAGGCGCTGCGCGCTGATCGGGGTGGCGAGTTCCTGGGGCACGACTTCACGCTCTTCCTCGACGGTAAAGGCATCATCCATGACCTCACATGCCCGTACACGCCGGAGCAGAACGGGATGGCCGAGAGGGAGATGCGCAGCATTGTGGAGGCGGTGCGGACGATGTTGCTGCACATGGGTGTGCAGCATCACTGGTGGCACCTGGCGTTGGCTCAGGCCGTCTGGGTGCGCAACCGCGTGGAGCACGCCTCACTACCCTCTGGTGTGACGCCGTACGAGCTCGCCTTTCGACGCAAACCTGATGTCAGTATGGTGCGTGTTTGGGGCTGCATGCTGCAGTACATGGTACCACGGTCGCAGCGTGGGGGGAAGCTGGCGCCTAAGGCTCGCTGGGGGTTGCACTTGGGTGTGTCAGCTGCGAGCAAAGGCTGGACCGTGCTGGACTTGGAGTCCAACCGCCTCATCACCACTGTGGAAGCTGTGTTCTATGAGACCATGTCCCTAACAGGATGGAAGGCTTGGCATCAGCAGGAGCATGGGGGGCGTTCGATGCCCTATGAGCCCCTTCCCTCACTCTTCCCGATCACTCTCGAGGAGGCGGAGGAGGAGGAGGAGGTGGTCGCACCTCCTGCTATGCCCTATGTCCCTACCTCGGTCCCCACCCCACCTCCGCCTTCCGTCTACCCTCGTGTGATTCCCCCTGTTCCGCCTTCTTCCTCCTCACCCCCCTTGCCTTCCCCTCCTCCTCCTGTTATTCCATCTCCCCTTTCACCCTCCATCCCTCCTGCACCTGCTCCGCCCTCCTCTTCGTCTTCCACGGCGCAGCCCGTTGGTGAGGGGGGGATGGAGGTGCCACCGTCTGTGGAGATCACCGACGGGCAGCGCCTTGAGACTGAGCAGCTGCAGGACGAGAGCAGTATGGAGGAGTACAGGCAGAAGGAATATGTCTGGGCCTACATGCCACGCATGACATGCATATCCCACATGCCACACATGCCATGCGTAACCACATGCCAGAGAGACAGCAGGGAGAGCGGAGGCCTCCCTGTGGTGCGTGTGGAGAGAAATTTCAGATCACACATGTGCGCCGCTCCCACCCCTGGCGTTGAGACGAGCTGTGTCCATCTCCCACCGAGATCCATCCGCAGTCGGCTGCCTCACCGCCCCTCTCCACGCCCCTCCCTGCCACTCCCATGCTGCCATGCCACTCGCCCACATTCGCCAGTCGCCAGTCGCAAGTCGGCACGGGGTGCTGCGTCTCCCTCGACGCGCCTCAACGCGCCATTCGCCCCATGCACTTCCTCATTGCCTCCCTTACCCCTCATCGCCTCCTTTTTCACCCCCTTCCCCCCATGCCCCTGCTCCCCAGCACCCCCCTCCCAGCGCGCACCAGGATGGCGTCGACGTCGTCCTCCTCGTCCACCTTCTTCTCCTCGCGCCGCTGCTTCTTCGCCTCCGCCTTCGCCGTCTTCCGCTCCGTCTTCTCCTTCCCCTTCCCCGGCTTCCCCTTCCCCTTCTTCCCCATCCCCGTGCACCACCACCGCGCGCGCGCGCCTTTCTGAACGACCTGCGCACGCGCGTCCAGCGGTAGCCGCAGAGCGTCTAGCAACGCACTACTGATGGCACTGACTAGGTAGGTGTTAGAAGAGCAAGCGGCACGAAGAGGACGACTTGAGCTCTCTCTCTGGGGCACGCTGCTAGTGCCGGCGCCCAACGCCCAAGGGGACACAATGTGGGAAGCGGCGAAGCGAGACGGCGTGTGCTCCAGCAGATCGGCAGCGCGGAAATCGCGCAACAGGAAGCGGGAATGGTGTTCCTCGCAAGCACTAAAACCTCTCGCAGTCTTTCGCTTTGGATGACTCGATACTGGTAACTAGGAAATTCGGCCCCACCCTCGTTTTTGTGATGCTCAAGAAAGGTTCACCAATTCGGTTTCACATACAGAGGCTTTTATGCGGGGTAAAACACGATCCAGCATGCAAGCAACATATGTTTTTTTTGCCAAGCTGCACACTTCGACGCAGTACATATTATTGGCTGGTACAACAAATGTTTCTCTCAGTGTTATGGTGTTCCGCGTTCTTAGCGCTATCCCCAACAACACCGGTCTCCCAATCAGTTGTTTCAATCCTGTTGCAACCTTCCAACTACTGGTATCAGTATCGCTTGCCCCTTTACTATAGCTTACATCATATATACAATCCAAGTATGGTCCTGTCCTCATTAGTGGACAGATTTTATTGCCTCCCACATTAAATACGAGGAACTTTTATTCCTCAGATGCCATCCACTAAATCCATCAGTGAAGACTGTCGGTCACTTGCGCTTGCCAGCAGGAGGTGGTGGTGCCTTGAGGGGAGGAGGGGGGGCCTTGGGGGAGGCAGGTGGAGGGCTAGCCTTGGGGGGGCCTCCAGCAACGCGGGCGAGGACACCAACGAAGGGGGCGTTGATGGAGGTGGAGGGCTCCACCTGCTGGTAGTTGTCCCTCTCGTCCCGGAACGCATCGCTGCTGTCCGGCCCGCCTATCACCGCCCCCGTCAGCACATTCACGTTCGGGGCCTGTGGGGCGTTAAGAGGGGCGCAGTGGGGAGTGAGGGTTAGAAGCATAGCAGTGGATAGTGCAGCGATGCAGCAGCAGGGAGCAGGGGACTGATGTGGCGCTGGGGCTGGCAGCTGGTCAGTTGGGTACTGGGAGGTGTGGTGGGCGGTTGAGCCTGCTGTGGAACCAAGGGCACTGGCAATGGGTGCGGTGCTGCCTGGGCACTGGGAGTGGTGTGGTGTGATGGGGAGATGAGGGATGGGGTGCACCTTGGACTTGAAGGCGGGCCAGCCGTCGTTGCAGCCCATGCGCGTGTTGTTCACCCAGATGGACGGCAGGGATGCACCGCGGTGGTGCACGCGCTGAGGGTACGAGGAGGAGAAGCCCACCATGTAGCTCAGCTTCTTGGGGTTCACGCCCAATATGTAGTCCACCTGGCCTTGGGTGTGCACGGAGGAGGGGGGAAAGGGGGGAGTGGAGGGAGAGAGAACATGGAGAGGGGTGAAGAATAGGGGTTGGGGGTGCAGTCACATGCACGGAGTGGGCTTAGGGAACAGTAGCACAGGAGGAGCAGTTGGAGAGGAACAGGTTGAGAGCAGCAAGGGACGATGCTGTCAAGTGTAGATACTCCAGCCACACGTATGGCAATGCAGCATGGGGGACGGCGCGCACCTGGCGTTTGATGAAGCGGCGCATGGCGGTGGTGGTGACGGGCGTGGAGTCGCACATGATGGCCGTGGCGTTGCCGGCGCTGGCAGGGGCGGCATCAAGGATGTCAGCAAAGGTGGAGAGCACCATGCTGATGGCCGTGACGTACTGCAGGTTGCTCCACGACATGAGGAACAGCATGCCTCCTGCATTCGGTGAGTGGCACAGGGCACACCGTGCAGAGGGAAGAAACATCACATGAGTTGCAGCACAAGAGATTTGATTGCAAGTGGGAGCTTGGATATCTGATCTCCATGGAGGTTGCGATTTGATCATAGTCGGTTCTCTGAGGGCGTGGGTGGCGGCACGGCACGCACCTGGTGATCTGATGCCACGGCACGCACCTGGTGATCTGATGCCCCGGCACGCACCTGGTGATCTGATGCCACGGCACGCACCTGGTGATCTGATGCCCCGGCACGCACCTGGTGATCTGATGCCCCGGCACGCACCTGGTGATCTGATGCCCCGGCACGCACCTGGTGATCTGATGCCCCGGCACGCACCTGGTGATCTGATGCCCCGGCACGCACCTGGTGATCTGATGCCCCGGCACGCACCTGGTGATCTGATGCCGCGCACCACGGTGCCGCACACAAAGTCCTTGGCGCGCTTCAGATACAGCTCCAGTGCCGGGTCCTGCCGCCGTAGGTACTCCTGAGAGGGGGGAGAGGGAGGAAGGGGAGGAATGGGAGGATTCGGTTGAAGGGAGTAAGGGGGAAGAGGGAAGTGGGCAGTGTTGTTCCAGCATGAAATTGGATGGGATGGGATGGGAGCATTGAGTGGGATGGGGTGGCAGTGGAAGATTGGCCAGGCAGAAGCGGCCCCAGAAGCACCCTTCTCATGGCCCTTCCCTGACCTTAGCGAGCAGCACTTGAGCGCCGGCATACTTGTTGTCCCACGAGAAGTTCTGCACTGACGATTGCGTGCCGCCCAGCTGCTTCTCGTTCGTCACGATGTAGTCCAGATATCGCCTCTCCCCCGTGGCGCGGTACAGCCACACCGCCGCCCACAGCAACTCGTCCTGGGCGGCGCAAAACATGTAAGACGACATATCAGCATACACAGAAAAAGACACGTCAGCATGCACAGAGCAAGACACATCAGCAGCATGTCTCAGAGCGGGCATGTGTGCTGGCACAGGCAGAACAAGAGTGATGGTGGGACACAGCAGGGTGCGGGAGGGCGGAGGGCGACGCACATTAAAGCCGGAGTAGGAGTTGTAGAAGGCGGAGGCGGAGGGGATGCTGTCCGTGTACTTCTTCGGGTACTTGCGCGCGAAGTTGAACAGCTGAGGGTTGCCACGGGTTGGAGGGTTGGCAGGAGGGGGGGAGGGGAGGGTGGGGGAAGCAGGGGAGTCGGGACTCGGGAGGATAGTGAGAGGAGATTGCATTGCATTGTGAGGAAGCAGACCAGTGGTTGATGCAAGTGACGACGTTCGTGGAGCTGGCATAAAATGGGCGGCATGGGAGCAGAGCAGCGCACCTGGTGCGCATGGGTGAGCAGCGCACCTGGCGTGCGTGGGTGAGCAGCGCACCTGGCGCGCATGGGTGAGCAGCGACTTGGAGTAGTTGGCGTCTGTCTTGCCAAACACCATGCTCGACGCCGCCAGTGCTGCCGCCGCCTCGGCAGCGGGCTCGGTGCCGGGGTGCTGAGGGTCGAGGCGGTATGCGGTGCGCGGCGTGGTCATGTCCTCGGGGCGCTGCCAGCAGCTGTGGTCCGACTGCCCGTCGCCCACCTGCCAATGCCAATGCCACGCAGGAATGTGCGCGGTTCAGCGAGGTTTACTTTTAAGGCGCCTCAAAACTAGACGCGTGGTCATGTCCTCGGGGCGCTGCCAGCAGCTGTGATCCGACTGCCCGTCGCCCACCTGCGCTTGCCATGCACGCATGTGGCCATGGACGCACACTTGCTAGTAGCGAGGTGAGGCGAGGAACAGGAAGGGCATTGGAGGGCGGCTCAGAATGTGAGACGGAGTGAACATTCAGCAGTGAATGAAATGGTGAATGTAACAACGGTTACACGGACGGACAGCCCGTCTGCCCATTGTCGGGGCACCTGCACCCTCACCCGCGCACATGCTCTCTCACCCGCGCACATGCTCTCTCACCCGCGCACATGCTCTCTCACCCGCGCTCATGCTCTCTCACCCGCGCACCTGCGCGTAGAGCACGTTGGGTTTGGGGTGCGCGTGCACGAAGAAGTGCGCGCCCCACCGCACGGCGTCGCGCGCCGCCTTGATCTGCCCGAGCGCCGTGAGCTGCGCGCCGTATTCGACGACGCTCCAGGCGAGCGCGGTGACGGTGAAGGCGAGCGGGAAGCCGAACTTGACGTTGTCGCCCGAGTCGTAGTACCCGCGCGTCAGGTCCACCTGCCGCCGCCGTCACCGCGGGGAGGGGGAGGGGAGAGAGGAGGGGGGAGGGGGAAGGAAAGGCCACGTGAGGGCGCGGGTTGGGGTAGCGCGCGAGCTGCGCGAGTCCGTTGCGCTGACGGCGTGTTACGTTGACTCTGCCGCCGCTCTGTGCTCGACTGCTCTGCTCTGCTCTGCGTTATCCTGGGATTGAGGCGAGCTGCTAGAGTGTCGACTAGCGTTCCATTTCCGCCCTTTTCTTCCGCATTACTCGGTCGTTTCCTCTCCCCCTTCCACCTGCACCTCCGCCTGTACCTCCCCCTAGCCCATATGCCTCCCCCTTACCCCTTCCGCCTTGCCATCCGTGAGTCCCGAGTCGCCACGCCACGTGGGTAGCTGCGAGCGCGGCAGTCTACCAGAACGCTGCAGCTGGAAGAAGAAAATGCATTTTTCTAGCGCCTCGCTGTAGTTCAGCCGCGCCGCCGCCGCCGCCGCCTCTACCGGCGCCGCCACAGCCGCTGGGTCTGGCGGTTTGGCGGCCCACGAGCGTTGGGGAAAGCTGCTGAAGGGCAGCGCGACGGCGAGCATGAGGACGGCGAGGAACGCGTCTAATCGCGTGGCTTCCATCGACGCGCAATGCGAACAGGTTACTACAAACCGGAGTTTCTTATCTGCACAACTACGACCGCCTAGCGGAAAGCAATGTAGATATATCTTATGGCTTTTGTTGAGAATCGAACATCCCTCACGTGGCCTGCTCGACAAATGAAAGTGATCCTAGGCCAGCAGCAGTGTCCTTCAATGCACGCTGGCATCCTATTATACAGTACAGTACTCTGCTCTCACATTCACGGCCTCGCTCACTGAACTTGTACCGTAATTCAGATCTCCCAAACTCGAGTGGAACCGCTCGGGTGCTGTGCACGGCGGGTGCTCGTGGCACGTGACTTGCTCACACTCTGCTGCTGAGACAGAAACGCCAGGCGGAGGGGAAGCGGAGCGGAGTGGGGAAGGCAGGTGGCAGGTGGACCTTCCCGGAGTGCGATTCGTTCCCCGCTGTGGCGCCCATTTGCGTTTCCACCTGCGCCCAGCTCCTCCGCCGAATCGCTGGGACTCTTACGACGTTGTGGCGGAGTTCCGAGTGCGTTTGCCCCATGATCCGAGGCCTTGGATCCGTGTGTTCCGGATTCCGAAGGGCTTGGGCGCAAGGCTCCGCCGCAAACGACACGGCCAGCCGCCCACAATTCAGCGCCCACCTGACCGTGAAAAATGTGTTCCAACCAACCTGCCCTGACCCTTTGTGCCAGTGATGTTTGTCGCGAATGACATGTTTCGCCATCGTAACTCTTTGGCCGACAAGTGACGACCGCCGGTCGCATGGCCGGTTGCGACCAACTGGTCTTCCTTGCGTCGTTATATGCTTTAACTCGGTTTTTTTTTTTGCTGCCACCTTAAAGCTGCAGCACGTGTGTTCCTTTATACCTTTGATGTTATGTGTTTTATAAATAACATGAGTTCAAGTGTAGCATCCTACGTTTGCTCATTGTGTTTTATAGTCATTGTTTACCAACTGTAGGTGTTCTGCACACGTGGCCATGGCAACAGTTGTTGTCAGAGTCCCAAGGCTGCAAGAGCCAATCAGCGTCTAGTAGGACCATATCCCAACTGTTGTTTTTTGGCGGGAGAATCATCCAGCCCAGGGTTGGATGACCAGATCTGGACACGGGCTTCTGTGTGTGGTGGATGGGTATGAATAGATGTTTTCGTGCTCATTTGCTCCTTTTCATTTGCATTTCATGTTCCGCAAGCCCTTTGAGATCTTTTCTTCCAGCACCTGTTAGTCCACCAGCGTAATCTTTTAAGCCTGCTTGGCCCACTGGCATAACATTGGCGATCCTCGACATAGTGACGTAGGTCGTATAGAGTGGGTTTTTTTTTTGGGTCAGCCCGGTTAGGATAACTGCAGTCGTACTTGTTAGGTCGCATATGTAGGCGCAGATGTGTGTGGTATAATATTTTGTCGGTAGAACTGTTTGTATTTGCCCGGAACAATTGTCATAGGTCGTCCGCTCTTGTAGGCGGACATCTTCGACGTTAGGCTTCTTTTATCGGTAAAGGTATTCGCTCCCAATCCATAATATCGTCGAACCCACGAAAGTTATGTACAAGCATAAGGGTTCCGTAGATGATTATATCCGTATAATGGTAGGAACTTATTTTCGTTGTTTCGTTGTAGAGAATTAAAGCGGTAAAACAAAGTGTGACAGAGCTATACGGTACGGGACAGTCAAGCGACCCTGTATACGCAAGTTGTAGGCGCAGATATATATGTAAACGCAAGTTGTAGGCGGTGTTCGACGACCAATGTGTAGACGTCTGAAGCACAGACTCTCTTACGCCTTCTGCGCTTAGCCCACTAAGCATTCTGCCTATGTTATCTGCACACTTGCGAATCGTTACCACCTACCGCGGCTGTCACCATCCGATTCTTTCGTCTAGTCTCGGTTGCTAGCTAATAAATTAGGAATCTGTGAATGGCCGACAGCTCGGTCCACTCTCGCCCCATGGCAGCCCAGGGCGCAGAGGATGGAGAAATAGACCTAGAGGACGTTGAAAATACTGACCCAGACTACGCACAGGATCGCGAGAACGATAGCGAGTTTGAGGCGACCGAGGAGGATTTGTTTCAGGGTGGTATCTACGAACCATCCGTCCGGATTCAAGTCCAGGGGAGTGAAGAAGAGAGTGAAGGGCCGGGAGGCGATGGAGTGCGCCCACGACCCGGTGCACCCGAAGAACGGTACGAGGAGGATGGAGATCACTCTGACGCAGAAGAGGAGGGAGAATCATCGCCGGGACGACGACGACCTCCCGATTCTGCGAGCCATGTCGAGCAGGCTGTGGCCCCCGGAAATGCGCAGCGGCAGACCGACGTTGCGGAAAAGGAGAGCAGGATCCGGCGTTCAACAATCCCGCTTCGACTGATAGAGGCCGGGACGAGAAGGCACTATTGTTTCCACTTTCTACACTTCAAGTGGTGGGTGATCATCTTCATGGCAACTATGGTAGATGTCCCTGTGGCAGATAGCCTTGCTCCCTCTCTGCATGACGAGGTTGGGTTTCATATGAGCAATAACTTGGGAAACGATGGGTGGTCGTGCAGCTCTGACGAGTGGCAGATTCATCTGCACGGGCCGCGAATCACGGAATGGAGGCTCGGCCGATACATCGAGTATCTCTTCTGCGAAACTGACGAGCAGGCAAAGTTTTTGCGTGGAAAAATGCGGCCAGACGTCGAGAAATATGTGGGGAAGGAGGCAAAGGGGTGCACGGCTTCAATGATCAAGGCAAAGATGAACGCAATGGGATGCCTTGCCAGGTGCGAGGCGAGGCTCTACGGCTTCTCCATCACACTGACCAAGGACTGGATCAAGGATGCTCGGGATTTTTTCAAAGTGAAGCTGAAGGATCTGAACGACGAGCAAGTCGCGTGAGTAACGTATACGGGTGCTTTCTGTTTGTGTGAATGTTGTTCTACATGCTTTACCTAATTACTGTGCTATTCTATGCAGGGATGGTCGAGATCAAACCCGTGGATCAATTGGTGATTGCTATACGGGAAGCCAGTATAGGACGCTGCATCTTACTGTTCTGCGAAAAGAGCTCCTAGAGATCTGGTGGCGGACGCCTCCGTCACAAATCTCGCTTCCTCTCTGGAAGGCTCTGCAAGTCCCGGTTATGATGCACCTCGGACACCAATTTCTCGGAAGAGGGTGCAGCATTCGAAAGATTCGACTTGGGAACCTCTTTGTCCGCATGACGCGGAGCACATCACACCTCGACGACTATCTGGACGTTTTCGTACTCGTCGTTGTTTCCAGGAAGTCGAAGACCAACCCCAACAACAAGCTGAATCATCAGTTTCTTGCAAGGCATAGGGACTGGCGGCTCTGCGGAATGGGCCATGTGTTCCTGTGGCTTTATTTCATCTATGACCTCGTTCCTCTGCGCTACGGCCCCGGTATCGTCGAGCCTCTCGACTTTTCTGAACCGATCTTGTGGACGAAAGCGCACCTCTTCTTTTCTTTGAAGAAGGGCAGCCAGGGAGAGCAGAAGCAAGACGAGATGCACTACAAAACGCATAACACCTGGATTAAGTGGGCCATGACGAAGGCGAGATGGATTCTGAGCAAGGTAACACATGCATTCCGCAGATCCGGAGCGCAACAACTCCATGACGACGGTTGCTCCGACAACGATATCGGCACTCTGGGCGGATGGGCGCAGGGGGAGTTGCGGAGGTGTTATGTGTTCGGCATACCGTTCAAGCCGGTTTGGCTGCTGGCAGGATTCAGCGGGGATCGTGGAGACTACTACATCGGCAGAGCCCGCACCAAGCTTCCGCGGCATAAGGTTAAGGAGAAGGATGAGTGGTTGCAGCTCTTGGATCTCTTGAGGCTTCACATTTTCCCCTGGGTCGAAGAGGGTTGGAAGAAGGTACGTGCTAGTGTACAGTCTTCGCGTTCGTAGCTTAATTTTGATACGCAATGATGAACCGTCCCATTTCTCCTGCATACTCGTCCCGTCAGGTCGAAGAATGGAACGCTGCGCAGACCGATCCGCTGAAGAGGCACTATGCGGGGGCGAGGTTCCTAGACACCCTCGCCAGCATCGGACGCCTCGTTGTTGCACAGGATCTGGCTATGATGTGGGCGTTCTGCCATCAGCACGGCGTGAGAAACCCGCGGTGCAATTGCGAGAGGCATCCATATGTGCAGATGAGCCCCTTGTGCAACCACCCGCTGTTCCAAAAGTGGGCGTACCTGGTCGCTATCTCTCACTTCCAGGGCGAGAAGCTTCGGGCAACCGGCCAAACCACCGCCAAAGCAGTAAGTGCCTGCTATTAGTGGTAGAGAGGAGTTATTCGTTCATGCTGAGTTCTGCCGTGCTGGTTTCTGCAGGACGCTATCTTTCGCACGACCGCAGAAGAGAAGCTGCATAAGATGCACCTCACCGCCAATATGCTCAGGGAGGAGCTTGGGATTTTGAGAGGACGTGAAATGCAGTTGGCGATGGAGAACGCTGAACTGAGGGAGAAACTCGCCGCTGAGCGAGAGGACAAGGCTCGGGTCATTGCAGAGTTCGAAGCATACAAGAGGTTTGTTGCGGCCAGGGATGACGCGGCAAACACCTCTGCAGAGATCGACGGATCGTCGAAGAGCGCGGGAACAGGAGGAAACCAGGCAACGGACGCATCCAAAGCACCAGTTGCCGTCCAAGAATTCTTCGTCGTGGTCGTTGTGTCTTGGCGCGAAGCCACCACTGTTGCTGCTGCCTGGAAAGTGTGGGTGCAGCCAAGCCTCATCATGGGCGGCCGGTCACTGCGCGAAGTCTTTGCAGAGTTCGACCGGTATAAGAAGAAGGACAAGAATTCCAGCTTCATCACCGCATATTCCCGGTTCGCTGTCAAAGGTACGCCCGGGATGGCTGTGGGTGCATGCGAGCGAAAGATGCGTCGCGTGCATCGTGTCATGGTTTCCGTGGAGACGCTAAGAAAAGACAGCTCCGAGGCGGCGACCGCAACGGCCATTAAGCTGCTGGACGAGGTTTTACTCGTGTGCAACTTC